CTTGAAATCATCACCACCAAAGTTGAATCTTAATTAATTGGTATCGACTAGAATCATGTTTTATATCTTCAAACTAACTTAAAATGAACTTGTTATTTTTGTAAGGTTTATGTGAGGAATCAGGTTTTGAGTTTGAGGAGTGAGCAGTATATGAAGGTTCATTCCTACGGTTAAACTACTCAAAAAGGAAAAATAAAAAATTAATAATCGCTCAATTTAACTCGAGAGACACTTGGTCGTATCTACAACATGTCTCAAGAACGCCTATTTCCTCATAGACAAAACTAGTTACTTGGGAATCTTTTTCCTAGCTCAAAATTTAATATACCACAAGATGTATATTTTTTAAAAAATAAATTGATTTGAAGTTCCTAAACACCTAGATATGTTGACAGTTTATCCTTTCAATGTTCGAGAAGTTATTTTTGTTTCAAGCATAAATTTTTTATTTTTCTTCAAGTTGGTCATTGGGTCGAGGAGGTTTAATCTCAAAGTTAGGGTCTCAAACAACATCCTAGATAGATAATATTTTACTTGAGGGAATTAATGGAAGATATGCACTAGCAGGAGCATAGAAACTTTTGACAAATTTATTTTTTGATTATTTTATCCACTCTCCTATCGTGTCAACAATTCTCTTTCACTCTCTCTCTTCCCTTGGAAGGTTTTCCACATTGCCTTCCTCTCTCCCCATCAATGAAAGCGTTTGCTGAAATGCCCTGACCCCTCTCAATCTCTATCCATCACCACATATACCTCTCTTTCTCTGCCTCTAATGTTTTTCACTCTTTTCTAACATTTCCTATCCATAATTTTAAGACTAAAACAAGTGGTGTGGATTGTATAAAGGTGAGGCTCTAAGCAACCAAAATAAGACGCATCATCAAATAATTGTGAAGATGTTGTTTCAGGCAATAAAATTTATTTTTATATTTATTATAAATTTAAAATTTTAAAAATAAAAAAAAATCGACAAAATTTATAAACACTTGACGGTCTGTATTTTTTTCGAGACTTAAAATCTATTTTTTTTTTCATATCCATATGTTTTTTATATCGAGACGATGGATTTGAAGAATTTTAGACAAGTTCTGAAGCGCCTTAATTTGATGGTTTAGGCCTCATCTCTATGTAAACTTAAATTATAGGTCAAAAGAGCGGCCTAGATTAAAAGTCCGCTTGCCCTTGGGACAATCTCTAGCGTCTATCAACAGCCTGTAAGTACGGCTCACAGAGCGTCACTCACATAGCAAGGACCTAATGGACATTACAAAGAAAGACGACGCTTTGTTAATGAAGATGTAATATCCTTTCTTTTTATTACTACAACGAGTTTTAAATTAAAGATCGGCACCAAATGTCCAAACCAAAGTGTCTCGTGCACAAAAGGTACAGGAATCAGTATTATCAGTGAGCCAGAAACAGGCTGCCATTTTTTTCCTCCTCTTTCTCTCTCTCTAACAATTTTGCTCTCTCTCTCTCTCTACCCTTTTTTTTTCCCCGCGTCTCCCACTCTCTCTCTCCTCTCTCTCATTTCTCCACGCTTTTACAAGTTTTACCCAAGAAACCAGCGAACACATCGGACTTCAAACCAATCCTGAAATCTCTCACTCTCTCTATCTCTCTTTCTCTCTCTACCTCTCTCTATCTCTCTCTTCTGTTTGTTGATGGTTATGGCCCAGGTGGACCAAATTTATGAAGAAAAAAGAGAGGAAACCCCAAAGCGAAGAACTTTCTCTTACCATCCAAGAAAAAGAGAGGAAGCCCAACTTCCCATAATGCCCCTCTTTCTCTTTCTCTCTCTGCAAAACCAAGGCCCAATAACCCACTCCCAGTTTTTATCCCCGCCTTATTTGGGGCCTCTTTTGCATTGTCTTGGTCAGAATTGCAGGAGAGAGAACAGCGCCTCCTTACCAAGAAAGCATTCACACGCTGTTTTCTGTCTCTATACGTCTTCTTTGTCTCTCTACCATTTATTTCTCTCTTATCAATTCTTTCTCTCTTTTCTAGCTTTCTATTTCCTGGTTTTTGGGGCCATGGCGGTTTCTGGCTGCCTATAGCTTGAAAGCTTCAAACTTTCCTTAATAAAGTAATCTCCGATGGTTTATCGAAACTGTTTCCTTATTGGGTTTTCTTTATTCATTTCGGTTTCTTCTTTGAGATCCGTGGGGTTGTGGGTTTGATCGGTCTGGACGTTTTCTGGGTTCTGTTGGACTGTTATTCTGGTTTTAGAGAGAGAAAGAGAGAGGTTTTGTTGTTGATGATGAAGGTGGTTTCAATGGATCGTGGCCCTGTTGGTGATGATGGTTTGAGGAGGTTGATTGTGAAGCATCAGGTTTTGGAGCACGAGTACGATGATTTGCAGACGGTATGAGTTTTCTCTCTCTTTTTTGCCCTTGCTTCGTTTTCTCCATCATTTCATTGTGTTTTGCTCCCTCTTCTTTTTCAATAACATTTCCTCCATGGTGAGTTGTTTTAACCCTCTCTCTCTCGTTTTATTTGGCTCTTTTTTTACCTCATCCTCGCCCCATGTGATGAAACGAAACCTTAGGCTTTGTTACTTGATTTCCTCAAAATATTTGTTTTTTCTTTTTGGTATTTGTTGTAGTCTAGCTTATATATCTATTTGATTTCCTCAAAATATTTTTTTTTTCTTTTTGGTATTTAGTTTGGTCTAGCTTATATATCTATTGGCTTTCTTCATGATGGGGTTCTGATCTATCTATCTATTTTCTGGGAATATTGTTTTATTTCCTAGATATGATTGTCCATTTCTCATTAACTTTTCAAACTATGGTTTTTCTGCAAGTCTTTTGTAGTTTGATTGAAAATGTTTGATCCTTTCAGTTCCTAGCATTTTGAAATGCTTTTCGCATCTTTATTCTTTTCTTTGGCCCATGCAAGTTTTGCATATTTTGGTTTAAGAAATTTTAGTAATATATTTGGCTTTCTGATAGTTTTGGATTGGGATTCATTCACAGGAAACTCGAACTTTAAAAAAGACTTTGCAGAAAGCCAAATTGAAGGAGCAAAGACTCTTAGCCGAAGTGAGGTAACAAAGAACTTATCTTGTTCTCATTTAGGAATATATCTCTTACATTCATACTATTTATTTTATATGCTTGGGAATAGAATCTGGAGAAAATGCAAAGAAGTAATTGCTCTCTCTCTCTTTCTGTTCAGGTTCTTGAGGAGGAGATACAAGTACTTAATTGAAAACCAAATGGAAAGAAGACCTTTTGAAGATTTTGCTCAACCCCAGGCCATGGAATTCCATAATGAGAACATGACACAGGAAAAACATTTCAGAGGAGAGGAAGCTACAACATCAAATCCTCGTGGCTTCTTGGATTTGAATCAGATATCTGAGCTCGTAATTTGCGCTAACCCACTCTTAGCATCGTGTTTTTTATTCTAATGGTTGTTTGTTGTTTATGCTTTCATTATGAAGGAGTGCCTATATGTGTCTCGTGTCTGATAAAGTTGGTTATGTTATGTTTATTGTGTAGTTTGATTTTAAAGATTCCTAATATGAATTGCTGCATGTGTGTTCACTTAACCCACTCCTTTTAATTATACTGGCATTATTATTCTGGTTATTTATTTGATTTTTCATATGTTTTGTTAATTTTTTAGCTATTAGGGAGGAGACCTAATTTGTTATGCCTTTGCAAGCTTGTACAAGGAGACCAAATTTATTGATTTTGGAGTTCCTTCTGAGTTATTATCGTTATCTGCTTGTCTGCTCATTCTATCACTGGTGGATTTTGGTCATATAACGAATTCCTCCTCCCTCATTTGCCACAGCTCATAGAAAGAAAAAAATAGATTCTTGCCCAATGAAATGATCATGCTTCTTTTTCTTTTATCACAAAATTTTGATGCTTCTAACATTGCCTGGTAAAGACAGTGGAATTAACAGAAATCATTAAACTACATATATCGTCTTGATCTTTCCATTTATTTAGTCCCAGTTACTTGCCTAATTTGTGGGCTTATGGGACATTCCGTTTTGCCTTGTGTTGTCCCTTGTCGTGCAAATTCCTCTTGGCTCGGTATTTGTTTGTCAGTTTTGGGATACAGGTGTGGGAATTTGTTCTATTCTTTAATTTGGGAATAATTTTCTGCTGCTTTAATGCAGGTCTGAGTCAAAAGTTTGGGCTATGATTAAGATACTTACCTCTGCATTATTCAATAGGTGAACCTCTTGGTCTGCTATTTGGTCCTTGTAAGAAACACGTCTGATAATCTCATAATGCAGCCGATTAGAGAAATAGGAGTTGTGCTATTTCCTTTGAAAGATATCTTAATTGTTTGTTAAGAAATGTGTCCAAGATTGTCCCGATTGCATTTTTAAGAGCTATTCATTACTTGGGCATGTGGTTTTTGTTGTTGCAGTCTGAGAAGGATCCGATTGTCATCGGATGCCATTTGGTGCTACAAAATGGTCACAAGGGATGTTTTTCTCTAGAGAGTCTTGCCTCAATTCCATGTATGGACTGTGTTTCCTCTGCCATTTGTGCATGCTAGGAACCAGAAACTTCTTGTTAAATCACAGTGGCTTGGGAGAATCTACATGGTCAAGGAGTACTTCTCATATGTGTTAACCAACGTAACCTGTGTCTCCATGATGACTGACCTTGGATGGCTTGGGAGGTCACTTGTTACATGTGAGTTCATTCCACACTTTGTCTAATAATTATCTATGATGACATGCTTGCCAATTGCAAGAGTCGTGGATTGAGGGCTTCAAGTGGCTACACCCGAGATGTTTCTTGAACTAGAAGATGCCTATTTTTGTGGGTGGCCCAAGATTCACATCTCTTGAACACCTTGTTGAAGAGTTTATTCGTGGCCAGGAAGTAGTTTCATTGGTCATATTGGTTTGAAAGTTATTATTATTATTATTATTTTTGACAAGGTTAAGCTCATTTCCTTTGAGAGTTATTAATGTTGATATCAAGGCTTCGATTTTCAATTTTACAGCTTCCTTAGTCATTGAGGACCACTTGATTTAGCTAGCATGTGGATGTGTCATTTGTGCTTTTAACTGATGCATCTACATATACATTGGAGGTGGGGAACAATGGATTGTCAAGGCATTTAAGCTCTCTCACATGTCACAAGTTTGATGTTTACCTTATGCCAATTGTCTATAGGGATGATATATGCAGATATTATGACATCCTTGGGAGTGGTGAGCCAAATGTCATTAACTTGGTGGCAAGTTCAGGTTTTGGTGATGTGGCCACCTCTCTCTCTTTAAGTGTTTCTATGCAAATGTGTACTCTCTTGTGAACAAGGCAGAAATGTGAAAGAAGATTTAGATAGACATCGGGATCAATAAAAAAGATGTAGATGGGTATTAGATGGTGGAAAATATGGGGTCGTCTATTATCATCTACTTCAATTAGATTCTTTAGTTCCACTAGTGATGAAATTACAAGCATCTGCGTGTCTAATGGCTGTTTCAAGAAGATGTGCCTATTATATGATTTAAGTAGCATAGGTTAATTTTTGGCATGTTCTAATTATCTAAATATAGAGCTCGTTCATTTTTTTAGGAATCCTTTTCAAAAAATTAATTTCTTATGGAAAAGTATATGTAAAGAGTTTAAAGACAGTTTACCTTTACCACAAGAAGCTCCAATTACCTTAGCATTAGATGTGAAATAGGTGGTTAGGAGTGTGTTATTAACTACTCTCAAGGTCCAATATTTTTTCTTGAATTTGTGACACACCCCTAGGTGCTTGAGTTATCTCTGACAGTTAGGAATGATGGTTAGGAATGCTTGTGACCTTCTTGAAAAATAATCAGTATAAAATCATAGATGATATGTTGAATTTGTTCCTTCCGAAATTGTGATAATAGATACGGTGAACATAATAGATAAGTATATAGTGAACATAATAGGTAAGTTTATCAGGATTCATGACGGGCTTTGGCAAAATTTTACGTTGGCTGCCTACCTAACACAACCATACATTTTTACCCGGGCATGGGCATTATTAGGATTCATGACGGGTTTTGACAAAATTTTACGTTGGCTACCTACCTAACACAACCCTTTTACCCGGGCATGGGCACATGCATGGGATCTTTTTACCCGGGCATGGGCATGGGATGGGTTAAGGGAAAATTTTAGGTCATCACCCTTGTTAGACCGTGCAATTTCACGTGATTGTATTTTAAATTTTATTTACTGCTCTTCCTTGAAAAATTTCAAGTTCCCTTTAACACCCAATGAAATGTATATTCGGGAAACTTTCTTTAGGAGGAAATCATCATTGAACTATCACGTCAGCGTCAAAGTTAACAGTTTTTTTTTTTTTTTAAACCATCACGTGGGGTGAGTACTTTTGAAATAGGAGCTGTTTGGTGGGAACCGAAATAGCACCTCATAAAGGTGAGAAGCGACCCTTCAAAATGGAGGAATCATCTAGGAAGTATTATCTGCAGAGGGTACCGTTGAAAAGTTGTGATCCATTGGCACCGTACACAATTGTGTTAATAATAGAATTTGCACTCTCTGAAACGCTAGATTCCATCGAGGACCTTTCGATTTTGTAATTGCCTTGCTTATTGCTGCCAAACAAGTTGCATATTTTATCGCTAGACTTATGCTATTGCCACTAGTACTCACATTTATATTTCTTGAATGATTCAGACTATGCCTGTCTCTATTTCCATTATTTATGTCATTGCACCTCTATCCATTGTCAAATATTATGCATTCCATATTTTTTTGACATTGCTTAGGGTTTTATTCTATATGATATCTAATATGGGTTATTGAGGACTCAATTTAGTTAACCATGCTATGAGATATCATTTGGGTTTTAAACTGTACGCAGATCCTCAGATGGCCAATCACCCATGAGGGGCCATTTCCCATGTGGTACCAGAAGGGGTCTAGAACCTTGTTGAATCGGGGTTTGTTTATAAGCGAAATTTCGACGAAAATGTTATTTCCGCCTAATTTTTTTGTTTAAACTTGTCGATTCGAAGGTAGAAAATGGGGTTATGTCAAATTACCGACCGCGAAAGAAAAACGACCCTACATTTGCTTCGTTGGTGGTCCGCTGGCCATGTCGGCTGACAATCGCCTAAAAACCGAACTAAAATAGGAAACTAGAAAATTAAAGAAGAATGGGGGATTTTTGGAAATAGAGTAGCAAAATAAAAATGGTAAATCAATGAGAAAGTACAGGAAAATTAAGGGCGAGGGATGTGCGCCTACTTGGAGCAAAGACGGGCCCACAGGCTTGGCACCCGGATCATAGTGTGTCGGTGCAAGGGGACTGTTCCCGTTGTCGTCGGAGTACTGAGCCAGAGATGCCCGATTTCGAAATTGTTGTGGAGTCACAATGAGACTTTCAGGGTGGTTAGTGTGGTGTTATGGAAGAGAAGAGATATGGAGAGTCGATCAGAGAGTGCCTGTGAGCTCTGATGTGAGTCTATGGAGAGTCGATCAGGAAGGAAAGAGAGTGTCTGTGAGCTCTGATGTGAGTCCCCTAGAGTTGAGAGCATGAAGGAGCTTTTATGGGTAAGAGAGAGTGAATGTGTTGTACGGGTGTTGATGGGAGAGGGTGTTAGTGGGATGCAAGTTTCACAGGGTCGCCTCCTTTCTTGAGGATTGTAGAGAGAAGGAATATATAGGCCCATGAGGGAAGTTTAGGAGGTTGTGTGTGCAAGTGAGGATGTTGAGAGAACCAAAGAGTGTGTGAGAGTGAGGTGAGTAGAGAGAGAAAGGAAGAGATAGAAAGAGAGGGAGTGAGAGAGAGAGAGCTCATTTAGGGGGAGGGGGAGGGGGAGGGGGAGGGGGAGGGGGCTTCATGGAGAGAGGATGAGAGGGGGAGGAGCTATGTGGGGGAAAGAGTGAAGAGAAGGGGCCACGCGGGGGAGAGGGCTATGTGGGGAATAGAGAGGGGGAGAGAAGAGAAAATGAGTGGAAAGAGAGAGATGGAGAGTGTAATGATTGCTTTTAATGAAGAGAAAGAGTGGAGTGCATTTATTGAAGAGAAAGAGTGGAGTGGTAACAGGAGAGTGTGAGGTGAGGCTCAAGTGGGTGAGAGAGAGAGAGAGAGAAAGTAGGGTCCATATGAGGAGATTGGGTGATGATGAGAGAGAAAGAAAAGGGGAGTGAAGCATGGAGCATGGAGTGGGGGGCACTAGGGTGCATTACAATTATTGTGTGGTTCCTAGTATAGTATGGGTTAGGCTAGAAAAATGGTTTTTGATGGGGCAAAAATGAGCGTTTTGGCTAAATTTAGGTATAGGGAGGTGCTAAGCTCGATCCTAGGATTTTTGGTTCCTTTGAAGCCAAAAAAAGGGCTTACGCCTGACTGTGTGCTTCATTCTTATCGTGCTTG